TTATATACGCCCTCGAAGATTAATAGAGTATATCGTAATATAGCGTTCTCCTCGTAGGTATATATATATTTATAGGTAATAACGTAGTATATAATAGGCGGCTATTTATTCGCACTATATATTAGCTTAGTATCTACTTTTATAAAATAGTAGTATCGTAAACCTCCTAGGTCTTAGATATAGTGATTAACGGGGTAGTAATTACTTACGTAAACTAGTAATAGAAGCGCTTAAGTTAGCGTAAGTCTTAGTATATAGTTTAGGGTCCCTTTTACCTTATTCTACTAGTAGAAAAATATCTCGAGTTTATATACGGAAATTCTAATAATAATAGCTATCTATTTATATAGAAACCCTAATACCTTAGGTAAATATCGGTAATAGTCTAGCCTTCTCGTAGTAATAAACCTTTCCCACTTATTTTTATAGAATATTTAGGTATATTAAAAAATATAACTTCTAATTTTACTTTTATACCGAGTATATACTTTCTATTATATATCGCCATTTTTCCGAATAACCTCTAGTTATACTAAAAGGAGATAGAAAATTAAAACCTATACTTTCTTAGAGACTACTAAAGTTCTAATAAAGGAGAAATACCTATATTATATATAATCTATCCGCTTTAATTTCGTTAAATAGGGTCGGGTAACACCCTTTTATATTACTTTATAATTCTAAGCTTATAATTTTATTAATCTATCGGTATTATAGAATACCACTAAGGATCTTCGGAGGGCTAATCCTTAAGGTATCGTTTAAGGCTTATATATCGTTTATACTTAATTTTAAGTAGGTTCTTTTAGCTAAAAGCGTTAGTGCTTTCCGATAAAGTATAGTTTAGTATATTATTCCTTAATAAGTAAAATCTTTCGATACTAAAAAGAAAAGGTTAAGGATTTAATATTACTCTAGGAAGTTAGGAGATTATAGACTATTTATATACTTACGAGTGCTAAGAACTCTATAATAGTATATCTAGCTAGTCTAGGGCTAGGGGTAATAAAGAATACTTAGCTACGATCTATATCCTTTCTAGATCCTTTTATATCTTTAAACGCCTTTCTAAGAATTTCGGAGGATAAGCTATATCTTCTCGGAGAGAATAGATTATACTATAGTATATTAAGTATATAGATATATAATTATCTAGATAATAAGCGATTTAGTATATTTAAGAGAAATATATAAGATAGAATAGTAAGAACCTTAATTATATCGGTTTAGCCTTATATAATATAGTTAATATTATCGCTAAATTATAGCTAGTCTAGTATAAAGAGATATACTTTTAACTTCTATCGATATAACGTTTACGAATAGGTAGATAAGTAGATCCTAAAAAAAGTAATTCCGTTATCTCTCTATTAGGTATAGCGTTACTATACCTCTCCTAGGACTACTTTATATATTACTCGAAGATAGCGTCTCCTATTATATAAGAAGAACGCCTCTAGCCTTATAGCGTAAGATAGTTTAAATAGGGACTAAAAATCCCTCTTTAGCCTATTTAACTAGGACCTATCTAGAATTAAAATAGTCTATTTTCCTTTTAATCTTATAGGCCTTACCTTTAGGTAAATCTATCTATTCGACTATTTAGTATATATATTTAAAATATCCGTTTTTAAGATACCGCTTCGGATACTAATCTCGAAGGAGCCGAAGACTATCTTTATTATATACGAGCTCTAATAGAGAGAGCTTATATTCGTATAATCTCTTTATTAATCTATCTTCCCCTAGATACCTAGTTTCCTCCCGTTAAATTATATATATCGAACCGATATTAGAGATTTCTTCGTAGATTATCTTATATATACGTAGAAATTGTTAGTCGTCTAACTCGTTCGTATCTACATTCTCTATCCTAAGTATAAGTCTATTTATTTAGTCCCGACTAGATAAACCGTTACACTCACCTATCTAGCTATTTATAACCTAAGGTATAGAGGCTAAAGCTCTTAGTATAATATAAGAAAATAAATTACTTATTATAAGCTAAAGATAGGTTTTAAGATAGTTTATAATTCCTAGGTTCTATTAGGGTATACTATACAATACTTATAACTTCTTACCTTAAATAAATTATAAGTAAATAACTCTAGAGAATTAAATTATATATAATTATATATATAATAAACTATTAAACTTACTACTTCCCTTAACTCAATATATCTAGTAGTATTTAGGGATACAAAGGAAATCCTTAGTAACGTGTTAGGTATACTCACGTGAATACAATCTTATTATAACCGTTATATAACTCCTCGACCCGGAACGTTAGGTATTACAGAACCCCTCCACGTAGCCCCGTAGAACTTTAATAATAAGACATACTTTTATACGCTGCTTTTCCGCCTATAGCATATATAACTTAAGGTCAGTAGCTATACTAAAAGAAGCCTTCTCTCTAGCTAACGCCTAATATCGTGCGCTAGATAATCTATCTTCTCTCGAATTAATAACTATAGAGCCCGGAGGCTTAAGAGCCGATTTAATAGATTCGGTGTAGATCCTAGTCTCCGAAAAGGATCTTTATAACTAAGCCTACGAAGATAACCGGATCGTAGCTAAATCTTTATCGATAGCCCTAAATCGAACGTCGGCGACGCTCTTAGTATAAGGCTATAGTAGAGAAATAATTACGCGTATCGAAAAGCTCTATTCTATAAGAAATATCTCTCCCCCTTAGTTATTATCGATATACTAACAATTTTCCTAGGGTAGCGAATTACGTAGAGAGCGTCGATTAGAACACCGAGGAATAAAGCCCGTAATCTAAGTATATTTCCCGGGGGAAACCCGGGTTAGGAAACCGTATATAGCTATTATACCTTTCTATATTTCTAGAAAGATTATACTTAGGGACTACGTAGTGTAACTAGGATAGTATTATCACGTATACGGAGAGTGCTAGCTATTAGTCTAGAACTAACCCGGCGTTAATAGTAAATTAGGAGTATAGGTATATATACTTAGAAGTTAATATCTTATACTATAAAGACCTTCCTACTCTATTATATTATAATCTATATATATATTATATTATCCCTTTAAATAATACGCTACTATAACTATAGAGTCCGAGAACTAAGAGCTTTCTATATAACTACCCTAGATAAGATATAATTTAGGTATAAAAATTTAGCTAAATTTATTATATAATAAATTACGTTAGAAAAATAGATAGAAATATAGAGTTAAATAGTTACGCGGATTACGCGGATAAGCACGATACTAATTCACTAAATAGAGGGTCGTATAGGATCGTATAGTCTACTAGCTAGGTTTCGATATTAGTAAAAATCGGTTAATTTCCGTATAGCGTTCCTTAAAAGATATAATCGAATAAGTAATCGAGTTTATCGGGCGAGATATTTTCGAGTGAAGGATTTACGTCTAATCGAGGATATCCGCTAGTAGGTAACGGTAGGATTACAAAATCGAAAGGATTTTATAATAGCTCGGGTACTTAGTTCTGATTTTCTAGTTCTAGGAGTGTCGTGTTTCCGATATTAAATTATAGCGTACGTAAGTTACTCGTACCTTAGTGAGATATAGAAGAGTATAGCGAATTTTATAGGCCTACGGTTTAGTTATCGTAATAAAAACGCTTCGTACCTAGTAACTTAAATTCGGGTATTAACTCCCTTATTCGAATATCTACGGGACTCTAAGTTTAAGCCTTAAGAGTGATCTAGGGTGTTATACTAACTATTATAACGAGTTTAAAGACTTATAAACCACTTATTAATACTTCGTATAACGTCTAATATATACTATTTTTTACCTTATAGCTTATTATCCGCTCGTAGATAAATACTAAAATTATCTAAAATAAGAGTATCTATAAGCTATAGTATTTACGTAAGTATTAAGCTATTAAAATCGCCTATTAATAACCCGAGGATCGCTAATACTACTTTATATATATTTAGCAGCTTAAGATCGTCGAGCCTCTCCTTAAGGACTCTTTTAAAGACTAGATATTTAAGTCCCTTATTAACGGCTCTATTTATATCGGATACCGAGGAAAGTTTAGGTTAACGGCTAAGAAATTCGGATACTCGGTGATACCGTCCCTTAAATTAAGACGAATTATAATTATTAGGGTTAATTTCCCCGCTTTAGACGGATAGGATAAATTTAGTAAGGGTCTATAATCTCTCTTCGCTACTTATCTCTTATACGAAATCTTTTACGAGAGACCTTACCGATAAGAGTCCTAGAAGCTTACTTTAGTTACTTTATATAGTAGTTCCCTTAGCCCGTCTATAATCCTCTATCCTAGGATCTTAAGTAGGGTCTCTCTTAGGCGAAAAGATCTTATCGCCTATAAGGATAGTTTCCTAAAGCTAAAGTATATAATCCTATATAGTATAAGCGAGTCTCTTAACTATATTTTTTTTTTTAGTCTTCTAGCTTTTACGGCGATATTTTTTCTTTAAGAGAAGGTTAGTAGTAGGTTATACTAGGATATTAGATATAGTACCTCTATACCTTAATATTATATTTACGTATCTATTAGGAGATACTAGTAGACTAGCCACTATATTTTCGTAGGTACTCGGGTAATTAGTAATAGATTCGGCTATAGATAAAAGACTATCCCTTCTAGAATCGCTAGGTAGGGGAGTGTTAGAATTATTAGTAGTAGGTGTGGTTAAAATGAATCTGACTTGTAGTCTCTGACCGAGGAGTTTGAGCGTCAGAATTGTTTCTGTAAACCGAGATTATAGAGCTTCGTCTGTGGCAGTCCGCAGTGTGTTTAGGGCTAAAGAAAGATCCATGACTGATTCACGACGAGCGAGGTACGAGAAATTACGGTCGCACACTAATAAACCTTTACTCTGGACCTACATATTGTTTTGCCATAACAATAGGTGGGTCCGGGGCGCCAGCTTTGCATAATCTAGACCAATCTTTTGTGACCTGTCCTAGGTGACACGACATTACTGCGTTGTTTTATGCGGTTTCCGCGCCTCGCTGGAAATATGGAGGCTGCGGGGAGAGACCGAGGGCCGAGCAACACGGTCTGGACAGTAAGTAGATCACGCCTCTAATCTCAGCTGGACACTATGAACGCAAACATTGGATAGAGCTGAGATTGGAATCTGTGCTCACCAACATAACTCATCACATTTCGTCATATTATGATCATACCCAATTTTTCGCCAGCGCGATTCTCTGGACCAGGCCCTCTTTGTGGGCCACCAAATCTCCCTTTTCAGAACCGCAAACTGTGTTATTGTTGATTCAGCCTGTCATTACGAGTACATGATGACCAAATGCGAGCTCTGCGGTGGCACCGGAGTAGATGGAGGTTTTAAGTGTACGCTATGCGATGGCAAAGGTGTCAAGAAGGCCGTCAACTACGTTGTCACCCTGAACAAACCTTGGTATGTTTGCTATGGTGAACCTTACGCTCGATCTAACCAGTCACTCATAAGCATCACCATCCTCCCGTCGAGCGACTTCCTTCTCCCCCGCTACCAGCGCTATACTCGAGCTCTTACGAGTGAATGAACGAATCTCTGGGACGTACACACCAGTGCGAGATGATAGACGAGGCGGTATTATACTCGAGCATTCGATCACCTTGAACCATCAAAGTCCTGTGTTCACAGCATTACTATATTTTGAAATCAAATTATCTTCGTTTCAAACATAAGTGGATTTAGCGTGGACTATTCAACTAGAATGTGTTGTCAGCCAGATTCCGACCAATGCACGTAGTCGCCCTCAGAATCATAGTTCCTAGAGGACCTCCAGCTCATGGGAGTGAACGGTATAGCTCTGGGGAACGAGATTAGTGACCAGGAGACCCTGGGATCCATAGCATGTTTCCCAGGCACGTTCTAGGTCGCTCCTAGGAGTCAGACCATAGTGATATTTCGGGGAACGAGAGGTGGTACCCTGGAAAGCCTTTTCTTGTGATTATCGACATATGAGCCCAGACATCTCACCATGTGATAGGAGTTGGGTTATTTAGGCCTATCAGAACATGGCCAAGAACAAAAGGACGGAAAAATCCTCGAGTGATCGAAATGATCGCATTCGGGACCCAAGACCCAAGACCGCAGGCAAAACCTACCAGTTTCTGTGTCCCGAAGGGTTTGCAGGGTTTGCACTACTTGTTGGCCTCAGGCATTCACCAGGGAGTGGATGCCTGAGGTTCTTCACGTGATGAATCACTCTTTTGCGCGAGAATTGCGACGCGGTCTTCGCCAATACAGCATCACCGACAATCGCCGCGTTTTAAATGGCTTTTATACTCTTGTCGCAGACACTACGGCGATTCCTATCAGTATGTTATAGTCTCAAGGACTGGATAGAGATTGCATTCATTTCTCCTTTGTCACGCCTGATCCACTGGCCCACTTGTCACGATATTGAAGCGGTATAAGTCGAGCCCGTCCCTTTCTATCGCAAGAGCTTCCTGACTAACTTACATAGGGACCTCAATACGATTATGAAGCAAATGAAACTAGACACGGAAAGGTCGAAACCATTAGCAGAGATGCTCAAGGACAATTTATCTCTGGTGGGCTAACTGGGATTGTGGAACTCCTTGGTGATGGTACCGTCCTCAAATCGCCATTTCCTGACGCTGAAATGGAAAACCATATCCTGGAAATTGCCAAAGAAGCCAGTATCTATCATCGCGTTGGCCCACATGAAAGGCTGGTACGAATATTGGATCACTCCAGGGATGGCCTTATTCTTGAGTATATGAAAAACGGTGACCTCAAAACCTATCTTCAAGCCCAAAACTCGATTCCGATGAGCCTGAAGTTGAAGTGGGCATACCAAATCGCGCAAGCTGTCTCTCTCCTACATAGTAACGGCATAATCCACTGCGACATCAAACCGCGAAATTTCCTCTTGGACGCGACTCTCAATATCAAAATCATTGACTTCTCTGGCTCTTCGCTAGACGGGTCTAAACCGGCCTCTGGTGAGGGAACTCGATTCTATCTCCCACGACATTGGAGAGACCCACCTACCGTGGCTACAGATCTGTTTGCGCTCGGGTCGACTCTTTACGAGGTTTTTGAAGGAACCAGTCCCTACGAGGAGATCCCTAGCAATCAAGTGGAAGAATGTTTCAAGAGAAAGGAGTTCCCTAATGTTTCTGCTATTCCATGCGGACAGATCATCAAGCAGTGTTGGTTGTCCCAAGTCGATTCAGCCGAACATGTGCAGGCTTTCATGCGAGATATAATTCGCAGCAAGCTCAACGCCGACTATATCCCTCATCTCGATGGTTTAGACATTGCTCGGGGTGTGTTGATTGACCAAGTGGGGTATCCTTAGGATCGGGACAATCGATACCGGTTTGTCTTGCTTTGATGCATCGATTGAAAGTTCTGGTCGTCGTGTCGCATGATGTTGGACAGCCGCGATAATGCTTGGTGGACACAAGATATTCACACATCCTAGAAGCTGTCAATTATTGGTGTTTTACTCCTTTTTGATGGGATACAAACTTTGATTGCACTATTTCGTCGCTAGATAGAAGGGCAATAAAGGATGACGCTGATGTCTGCGCAGATATTAGGAACCACGGCTGTTGAGGTAGCCGTTATTTATACTAAAGCGTCTGCCGTCTGGATATGCGTCCAAAAGCGGGGAATTACTGTCTGGTAAGACGCCAACCATATGCCAGCCAAATATTCCCTTGGGTTTTCCGCCGGGGGAAGGAGGGGGCGCTACATCACGTCACATACGTTCAAACGAGGAAGGGTAGCTGCAGTCAGCACACACAAAAAGGAGATAACAAGGACCCTCATTGGAGGGCGAATGTCGCCATGTTTCTACTGGATTTCCACTGGGTTTCCCATAAAAGCCTCTAGTCTAATATTGTCACAGAGCATGTATGTATACATTCGATGTCACATTAAGATACTTGGTATCAGCTTAGCGCGTAAAATGCGGATATCGGGACCATTATTATGATTATCAATCGGAGAAACAAGTGGATTTTTATAATCATTCAGGCATTTTAGCTGGAATATAAGATAACAAGTAGTCTTGACGCCGCGCGAAGCGCGGCGGAGAGACTGCGAGTCAGCCAGGTACTCCATAGGGAGAAGCACCTATCAGCTTATCTTTGCAAAAAAAAAAAAAGGAATTGAATATGGATCACAGTACCTTATGGGAGGAGTTTAAGTAGTATATATAAAGAGTCCTTATAATATCACTAAATATCTAAAAAAAAGATGCCGAATAATAAAAAAAGGGCTTAAGTGACAGTACTATACCTTCCGCTAACCAATCTTTTAGGACTGCCGAGTAGTACGAGCTTGCTTTCGGGTATACTCTAAAGGTAATCCCGTAGACTCGGAATCTAGTGAACTAGCTAGTTAGATATCTATATAATATAGAATCCCGTTAGTCCTCGTCGCTATTAGAGTTAGAGTCTAACCCGGAGTCTCCTAAGTCGAAGGGTTTTTATAGCGTTATAGGCTAGGTCGGCTTTCGCTTCGGGGCGGGACCTTCTTAGTCCTTACGCTTCCTCTTAGTAAGTTCCCTCTATCGGGTCTTATAACCTATAGGAATCGGGGTATTAGAGCTAGGCTTACCGGTTATCTAATATCGATAGATAGGGTTTCCTTTAAGAATTATAGTTATTAGTGATATATATATCTTATAACTAAAATAAATATATTTATAGTAGATATTAGAGAGGGTAAGACTATCTTCTCTTTCTATAATAGCTTAGGGATAGGTAGATATCGGATAATAGAGAAGCTCTATAAGATAAAGGTATACTAAGAAAAGTTTAAAAATAGTAGAAGATAGTTTAGGGCTAGGGATAATAAGTAGATAACTAGGCGATTAAGTTAATTATAGTATAAAGTAGCGGTTCTATTCGTTATATAGTTACTACTAATAGTAGCGGAGCTAGTATTAAGCGGAGTATAGAGATAGATAATATTAGAAAGCTCTAAATATATTAATATATAGTCTTTAAATAGATAAAAGCTAATAAAAGTCCTAGAGATAAATATCTATTAATTTTAGCGAAGAGACTATATTCTCTTCTAACGAATAGTCGATAGAATATTAATAATAATATTAAATATAATATAAGCCTTATTAGATAAGCCGGTATAAATATTAGCCTATAAAATAAAGAGATAGTAGCCTAAGCTATTAATATATTAGCTAATACTATAAATTATAATAGATATAGAAGGAATAATAGCTTATAGTATATTACTAAAGTATACCGGTAAAGTTAGATTACTTAAGAAAGGCTATATAGAGACTACCTAAATAGAGATAATAAAATAAGTACTATTAGATTACTAATTAACAAAAATAGCGCTAGATATAATAATAACCTAATCCGGGACTATATTTATAGAGCTATTAGAGTAGAAGTAAATATTTACTATAATCTCCTTAAGAACGTTTAAATCCTAAAGATACTTATAACTTAGGGGATCGTAGTAAGTAGGGAATATAAGCTTAGTATCGCTATTCTAGCCTAGTTATAGGATAAGAGAGTTAGTAACTATAATAATAGTAATAATATCTATATAGGTATTCTTAGACTAAGCTTACGATATAGTTAGGGGGTAAGGAAATTTAAAGTATAATATAGAGAGAAGAGAATAAAAGTAAAGTAATAGGGAAAAGAAAAGAAAGAAATATAATAGTAAATAGAATATATATATTCGTAAGAAAGAAGAAAATCGTATAGGCTAAGATTATACCGCGGGGGCTATACTTACCGAGAGTAGATTATAGTAATACTAAGGTCTTACCGCTAGTCCTAAATATAGACTATAATTTCTAAAGATAGACCGTAATTTCCTATAGTAGGCTATAATAATAGAGTAGGCCTAAAGAAGCCGGAGACTTATATATATTAGTAATATTACTTAAGGGTTAAGGTATAGTAAGATATATACTAATTAAGGGGCTAGAAGAGAGTATAAGTACTAAAATTAGGGGTTAACCCTATCCCCCCTATTTTTATCTTTAGTACGAAGTAGAAAAGCTTCTAATACCTTAAGATAGATAATATTATTAACCTTAGCGGTAGTATTATACTTAGCTAGTAATATATAAACGTTCTATATATTTATAGTATAAAAGAAAGCGATATAGAGTTAACTATAAATAAAAACTTAACCGCGGAGGTTAATACTAATATAGAATAGTAATTAATCTTAAGTCTTATTAATTAATATAGCGAACGCTAAACGAATAGGGAATTAATATCTTATTAAAGTAAAAGAAAATAGCTTACTAGGATTAGTAGATAAAGAATATAGAAAGATAGTATACTATAGATTATAGGCGTATTTTAGGTTATCTAGCCTTACCTTAATATTATAGTTTATAATACTAATAATAATATACTTAGCGCTATTATAGAGGCTATCTTTATAACTAATATTCTATAGGATAATTATAAAGATACCTATCTTAAGATAAAGATATACTAGAGGAAGACTACTAATATTAATACTATTTAGCTATTTAAGTATAGTATCCCCTAAATTAATAAA